GCGACGACGAAGTTACCGGAGCGCTGCGCTACGCCGCCCGGTAACGCCACTCCCCTCTTCTCCGTTTCCTCCTTTTTTTTTTTTTGTTTTGGCGCGGGCTTTTTTGTTTATTGTTTTCTTTTTATGCGCATCTTCTCTGTATCGTTCCAATTTTAACGGATGCCCCAAAGGACTATGGTGCCGGCTTTCGGCTCAATGACAGAGCAGTTCAGAAGCTACGAGAGTCGGGGAAGAGAGGAGAGGAGGAGGGGTGGGGTGGGGGGGGGCGCGGAGGAGTAATACTGCAGAGCGAAATTAGGTTAGGGCATACTCACTCTGGGACCTTCTCTACTAAGCTGTGGACGGAATTGTGATCGAATACATCCACGTCTTAGGCTGTAGTTCCGGTCAGATGGATGCAGGAATACCAATGGGCGTAGCTCAGTTGGTACACCTACGAACTGTTGAGAAAATGCAGACGTGTGCTCGAATCCAGGCGATTTAGTGGAGTGAATTTCCGGATTGCCCGGGGCCGATCGGTTCAATGATGGCCGTCGCCTTGTAAGAAGGGAGGAAGAGAGTCCTACCGTCTTCGCACGAACATAACGCACCTTAAAATGAATGTACACAAGGTATAATTCCAGTCCGGTACAGCCAAAAAAATAAGGGTGGGTTGTGCTCGGGGGAAAATGGAAGTGTATGCACTGGAGTGCCATTTCTCCTTTTCAGCCGTAGACCGTAGATTTTGGGAATCCAGGGGTGCAGAACCATCGTTTTCGCCCGTTAGGCCCTTGTTGTGGTCTCAACCTGCTGACAGTAGTGGGAGGAGGAACGAAGCACTACTATAGATCCACCTATACTATATTATCATGTTCAGTACTATATTAAGGGCTGGTGCGGACCTGCAGGCTCAGGGCGATGTCGATCTATCCGTCCGCCTGTTTTGTGTTCCTTCCTGGGGGCAAGGTCCCACTTGCACGAATTAAGAGATTCTAGCCGTTGATCTCTCCTATCTGCGGTCAATATCGCTTAATTCGTGTAAGTGGGACCTAGCCCCGGGAGAGGAGGGCCTAAGCGATTCGCCGGAGGAAAGTTTCGTCGGAGCAGGTAGGCTGCAGGAGGGCTGGCTGGCAGGCGAGGAGGCGGACAAGCTGGAAGAGGCGGGCGCCTTCAACCTCCAGCTACCGATAGGCGGGGGCGCGCGGGAGCAAGAGGACTCGCGCCCGGTAGGCAGGCAGGCAGGAGTCGCTGTCGTCGGCCGGCCTCCATCGCCCGCGGAAGTGGGCGGATGGATGGGGCGACGCGCGGTGTGGGCCCACAGGTCACACAATTATCTCCTTTTTTTCTTTGGGCATCGCGCCACTACACGACACTCCACATGCATGTGGACGTTTACCTGACTACGTGCATTTGGACAAGTCCAACATTTTGAATGTATCCCGTCAAGAACCCGTCCAAATGCGTGTAGAGTGTTGTGTAAGTGGAGCCAGGCCACTTCTGCTTTCTTTTCTTTTTTTTTTAAGGCAGGCCACTTTTGCTTTCGGGCCAGCTGGTGTTGGATCTGTGTTTTTTTTCAACTTTTTCTTTTTTTCCGTTCGGAAGACGCGCGCCCACGGGTGGGCAGCAGGCGTGCGGCGGGGAGGCGGACAGGTTGTCGGGCCGAGGGGCGAGGGGTCTGGCGGAACTTGGCGGGGATGGAGGCGCTTAGGCGGCGGCCAGGAGGCGGAGGAGGCCTGCCCGCGTGCGTTTCGCTGTGCGTGTGCCTGTTGTTCTTCGCTCGCTTGGTTTGCAGCGAACCAACCGGCGAACGCTGCGGCTCCGCGACGGGTCGGCGGACAGCGCAGGCGCGGGATTGGCTTTGGCAGAGATTTGGCAGAGACTGGGCGCCACACCAGGTCTTCGCGTGTGGGCCCGGCCCGGCGAGGTCCCACCTGTCGTTATTATTCGTTCGGCTAAGTGGGACCTACGGTGTGACCTCGCTCCTGAAGGAGTAGCGATCCATCTTCCGCCGGTCCGCGCGGCGCGCGCGCTCTCCGTGAGCAGCGGAAAACAGAGTCGGGTCCAGAGCAGGATGAGCATTGAGAGGTGGGGTGGGGCGTTTGGTAGGGGTGCCCACTACCGTCGTCCCCTGAACATAACGCACCCTGATAATGAATGTATACAGACTATCTTTCCGTCCCGACGCAGTCAAAATGATGGTGCGTTGTGCTCGGGGGAAGACGGTAGGTTCGTGAAACCAGGAGTGGTTTTAGCACGAGTAGGGAGGCGCCTGGGGCGAGGTCCCGCTAGCAAAGAGGATTGGATTGAACCCCTTAATTTGGCCGCGTTTGTGGACAAGTGCAGAAAATCGAGATTCAAATCCTTTTCGGCATCTCTGCCTAAAACACGGCCAGATTCAGGATCTTAATCCAATCCCCTTTGCTAATGCGACCATGCTCCTGGTGTGGAGGGGCGCCTGCCTACCGTTCGAGAAATGTTCGAGTTCCCAACTTGCCCCACCACTCCACTCTCGAGGGCAACTTGGGAACTTGAACTTTTTTTTTTTTTTTTTTTTTTTATTACTTGAACTTGAACATTTTCTCGAAATGTGCAAAATGAGAATGAACTGAATTTTTTTCGAAATGTGCAAAATGGTCCTCCATTTTTTTTTTTTTTTAAATTTATTTTTTTTTCCCAAAAGGTTGTCAATATATATTGTAGGGGCCCAGTGCTCCGTTCTCGAAATGTGCAAAATGAGAAAGATCTTCCCGCTAGAACATGGTTCGAGAGTGGTGTGTAGGGGTGATTGTTCTATGCTTTTTTTTTTTTTTTTTGTTTTTTAATGTGGGGGTGATTGTTGTTGAAATGTGTTCGCTATTTGAAAGTTCACTAGAATCTAAGCTGGCTGATGCTGTCAGTAATCCGGAGTAGAATTTTTTTTTTTTTTTTTTTTTCTATAGGGTAGAATTGTGAGGTCCCCGGCCTCGAATTGATATTAGTACTGGATTAAAGCTGTTCTGTTGGTGGGGGGGGAGGGAGGAGATCGTCTTTTCTCACGGGATACGTAATTGCGGTCAGATGCATTCACGGACGACCACAAATGTGATCAGATACATTTAAGATCGAGCTTAGTGTGAGTACGCCCTCAGTTTTCTGTATTGCGGTCCCGCCCCCAAAGAAAAGAGAATTGAGAGCTGCGTGTGGAGGGGCGGGGGCTAGGTCCCACTTACACGAAACTAAGCGATATTGACCGTAGATAGCCAAGATCAACGGCCAGAATCTCTTAATCCGTGGAAGTGGGACCTTGCCCCGGGGAGGGACGAGAGGTCTTGTGCTCTCGGGTTCGGAGCCGGACGACCAGAGCCGGCGTGGGGAGCGGGGGGAACGCGCTTGCGCTCCGCGCTCCTGCGCAGGCCCGGTCGGGTCGGCCAGTGGTTCGGTGGCGCGGTGCCGCAGCTCCGACTCATCTTCTTCCACCCCTGGACTGGACGGGTTGCGCAGGGCGCTCGAATGCATCGTCATGCTTAGGGCCTCGTTGCACTACTCGCCATCCGCCAACATTTTGATTGCACGTGGGCACCATGTTTGTCCAGATGCATTCGAAATCTTGGCCGTTGGCGAGCAGTGCAACGAGGGCCTTGTGCCATGCCTAACGTGATGAGAACTCGACAGCCATGGTGGATGGAGAGAAGGCGATGCTGGCCTACCGTCCTACAACAGTTGTCCATCCCGTGTGCCACGATCGCCCGTCGGCCGCGAAAACCCAGGTGGCCCCTCTATCCCTCTGTACCTACGGTAGTTCTGATACGCTGCGGCGTCTTGCCTTGCCCTGTACCCTCTCCTTGAGCTTAGTTTTCCTTACTTAGACTTGTGCAGTGAACTGTCAAAACTGGCGCCAAGCTGCGCTAACCTGCGCTAAGCTGCGCTCCCCATGACGGGAGAACTAAGTATCATCGTCGCTGTATGGTGTTCGTTCGACGATCGGGTCCATCTTCCGTCTCTCCATTACCTGCTGCCAGCGGTTGCGCTCCCTCTCTTCTCGTCCCCCACGTCTCTCTCATCTCTAATTTTCTCTGTACATTGGGTACGGCAGCGATTTTGCTGCACCACTGAGAAAGACGATGGCAGACGAGACACCTGTTCCTGGAGAGTCGACTGTGGTCTTCTTCTCTCCCTCAAGAGCCTCTTTGGGAATTCCAATTGATCCTATCAGCACCGGCAGTCTTTTAGCTCTCGGTTGATTACCAGATATCCTCCCTCCCCCAACATATTGACCGCACCACACCTTTTCTGTAACTCAAGGACGCCCGACGCGTGTGTGGACACGTCACACACACACACACACACACACACAGAGAGAGAGAGAGAGAGAGAGAGAGAGAGAGAGAGAGAGAGAGAGAGAGAGAGAGAGAGAGAGAGAGNAGAGAGAGAGAGAGAGAGAGAGAGAGAGAGAGAGAGAGAGAGAGAGAGAGAGAGAGAGAGAGAGAGAGAGAGAGAGAGAGAGAGTGGGATGGAGCTGAGGAGGAGGAGTGATGGACACAAGGAGAAGCGGGTTGTGATAGTGCGGACTACAGAAAACAACGAAAGGATTCCAGCAGGAAGTATTCGGAGAGAGAGCATTGTCGAGCACATGGGGAATGCGTGGATTTCTCGAACGCAGCAAATTGAAATTTCTCGAACGCAGCAAATTGAAGGTACTCATCGGCCTTCACTCTAGCAGTAAGCAGCAGCGGCGGTCCGAGGAGGGAGCAGGGGGAGCAAGGGGAGGAGGAGGAGGAGGAGGAGGAGGAGGAGGAGGAGCAGGAGGAGGAGGAGAAGGTGGGAGAGGGAGTGTTCCTCCCTCTCAAATTGATGATGGCTAACGTGTCTTTAGCGCTATCGCACTATCTTCTCCCCTCCTCCGTCATTCCCAGATTCAAATCCTCAAGGGCGGTCGCGATTTTCAACGGTCATAATCTCATGCGGGTCAGGAGGAAACGGACGACTGTTGCTTGCCGGGGCTTGTTCGATGCCTCTTCTTTCTCTTTCTCGATCTTTCGGGTGTTACTAATATTATTTTGTTCTCTTCTTCTACTCTGCTCGACTCCAACGCCCATCATATCCGGAGGAGAAGCTGCTGTTGTTGCTGCTGCTGCATTAGGAGGAGGAGGAGGAAGAGGTGTCAAAGGAGGTAGAGTACGACGTGTGGGAGCGGCGGTGTTAGTTTTGCCTAGGCGCGCACTGCAGGACAGCACCACAGGAACGAGGGCCGTATCATCAGGTGCAGGTCAGACTGTCACCTCTCCATCTTCTTCATCCAATAACCCGCCAACTGCCAAGGCTGGCAGCTCTGCAAACGTCTCGTCGTCGTCTCCTTCCTCTGCTTCTTCTCCCAAAACCTTCTCTTCCTCTTCGTCTTCCAACTCGTCATTGCGGGCGCCCAGCTCGTCCTTAGCCGAGCCCGACACTCCGGATTCCAAGCCGTCTTCTTCTTCGGCCTCCTCCTCTTCGCCGTCTTCTTCTCCCTCCTCCTCCTCCTCCTCCTCCTCTTCGCCATCTTCTTCTTCCTCCTCCTCATCCTCTTCGCCGTCTTCTTCCTCCTCTTCACCGTCTTCTTCTTCTTCCTCCTCTTCACCGTCTTCTTCTTCTTCYTCCTCCTCTTCACCGTCTTCTTCTTCTTCCTCCTCCTCTTCACCGTCTTCTTCTTCTTCCTCCTCCTTCTATTTACCGTCTTCTTCTTCCTTCTCCTCTTCGCCGCCTTCTTCTGCCTCGTCCTCCTCTTTGCTGTCGTCTTCTCCTACTTCCTCTCGCGTACCCGTTCCGCTTCCCAGGTCATCGTCTGTCGAGACCTCCAGTGGCAGTTCTCCCGTTCCGATTTCCTCTGCTCCCACTGTAGTCTCTTCCGCATCGTTTGCTGCCGCCTCATCAGTCGGTGAAAGCGCGCCGTCGCCTGAATCTGAAGCTCTCTCATCCATTTCCACTTCTTCTTTCAGGGCGTCGCCTTCTTCATCAGGAGGGTCCGTGTTTCCGTCATCGTACCCCTCTCCCTCCTCCGAGGCAGCGTCGCGGCCGAACGGCATTGAATCCTCTTCTTATTCACCTTCTTCTTTTTCTTCTGCATTGCCGCCGTCATTGTCTTTGTCTTCAATTCGCCCACTTCTCTTCGCATCTCTTTCAGCGCCCTCGTCTTCCTCTTCCTCCTCCTCCTCCTCCTCCTTGTCCGTGCCGGCCAACTCCGCGGGCTTTCCTTCTTCATCCTCTGCAGGTCATGCCGCCTCCTACAATGGTGAATCGGAGTCTCGTTACTCATCATCTTCGATTTCCCTGCTCTCTTCTCTCTCTTCGTCTTCCTCTTCCGTCGCTTCTTCCTCGTCTGCCCACCCATCCCCCTCTTCTTCTTCTTCTTCCTCCTCCTCCTCCTCCCTCTCGTTGCCGCTTTCTTCCTCTGCTTTGCGTTCGTTAATTATCCCCTCCTCCCCATGGATGTTTGCCTCCTATCCCTCCACTTCTTCGGTCGTTGATTCTTTGTCCTTGCCCCCCTCTCTTGTCTCTTCCTCTCCTGACGGGCCTTTAGACCCCTCCTTGTCTCAAGGGAACGGTCGCGGCAGGGCTTATCCTCCTTCCCCGTCTGCTCCTACAGCACGTCCGCCGCCTGATGACGCTTGCCCCAAGAACGACACTGCTTGTCGCCGTCCTGCCGCTCTCTACGGTGCTTCTGTACCCCCCGCCGCCGCGATCCGTCATCAGCCATCAACCAAACCTGACCCGTCGGAGGAGGCCGACACGAGGAGGCCAGCAATCATAGCCATAATATGCTCGGTGGCGGCGGTGGCCCTCCTTAGCTCCGTCTTCATTGCCATTCGATTGCGCAGCCGACAGCGAGGGCCGTCTTCGGCGACTTCGAGAAATGGCGGGAAAGTATTCGACGCGGGACCCGCGCCGCGCCCTGAGATTCCCGGGAAAACTGGGTGGTTGTCCATCTCTCTCTTCCGGGCATTCCGAAAAGAGCATGGCCCCCGGCCCTTCGATTGGCAGGATCATCCTGCGCTAGCTACGCGGATCTTGAGTCAAGGGCTCGGTGCCTACAGTTTCCAGTACAAGCCGCAACAGCCGTCCACGCATGTAGGTGGGGGAGGAGGAGGAGGAGGAGGAGGAGGAGGAGGAGGAGGTAGTCCGTTAGTACCAGGTACATCACCAGCAGTACCCGCTCCAATAGCAGAAGCGCCAGAAGCAGCAGCTGCCGGTGGAGGAGGAGGAGGAGGAGATGCTTCCCCGATGTCGGCTTTGCGCGGGTCGTCGGGAATGGCTGGTGTCGGGAATGGAGGAAGCATGGGGAGAGGAGAAGACCTGCTGATTGTTACTCCATCTCTCGCTTCGTCCCCATCGATGTTGTTTGGACCGTCTCCTCCGAAAATCGCTTGGGCTATTGTCGGCGACGGAATCTATATGCAGGAGATCCGCTTCACGCCACGTGGCCCTGGCCCGAAACTCGCTAAACACCGGGAATACATTAGGCCCCAATGTGTCCAGTGCCGCGTGCCCATCCCCGGTCCTGTCGAGTCCGACGTCTACCCGACCGATGAGGCATACTTTGAAGTCACAATCCGCTCGGCCGGGGTGATGAACCCGAGTAAAGGATCCAGTTATACCGGGGTTAGCGGCGAGATTGCCGGGTTAATCGAGAATTTCCCATCGCCGCCAAGCTCCTCCAGTTCTGGTGTTCTGGTCAGGAGCATCTCTTTGGCAGTTGGACTGACGCCGTTGAAGTCATCCGGATCGTCGTTGCCAGGCTGCGAGCCCATGTCCGTTGGATTCTTCTCCGTCAACGGTCAGATCATGGTCAACGGCTCTCCCGTTGACGATGGCGGCGGCGGCGCGCTCCATCATCAGCAAGCCTGGGGAGCCGTTGGCACGACGGTAGGTTGTGGGTTCGATCCCGTGATGAGGAAAGTGTTCTTCACCCTGGATGGAGAGGTGGTCAACGTACTAGAGTCGGTTCTCGCACAAGGACCGGGGTTCGATGGGCCGTTGTTTCCAACGATAGGCACGGACGGCGATGTGACGGTGTTGGTGAACATGGGACAGCTGTTGTTCAAGTACGGGCCTGCGAATGAGTACATACGGAGAGTGCAGAGGGGAGCATTGGGGGCTGCAGGGGGGGGGAGATGGCGACAGGGGGGAGGGCAAAGTGGAGAAGGAGGGGGGGCGCAAGGAGATGGGGCTGGGGAAGAGAGAGCAGTGGGGAGGACGGTGGTGGTTGTCGGAGATATGGGTTCGTCGAAGGAGGCGGAGGGGGGAATAGGCGGGGGAAAGGTCGGAGGGGGGGCGGAAAGTACGAGAGGAGGGCGAGCTGCAGGCGCCGGTACGTGGGTGTTGGGAGAGAGAGATGGCGTCCACGGGGGTAGAGGGGATGCGGACGGTGCGGAAGCGGGGAGCAAATGGCCGGACGTTGTCGTCAATGAAATTGAAGGCCCTGCTGTAGACTCCGACAGAGTGGCTCGTAGTAATCATCATCATCATCATCATCATCATTATCATTATAGTCCTCCTCCTCCTCCCTCTCCTCCTCCTCCTCCTCCTCACAATCATAACAGCGACGAGCTAGCAGGAGTACCTCGCGCCGGCACTAACTCGACTTGGAAATTCGAGCCGCTGCGTAAGGAATTGTAAAGCTTTGTAATTGTTCTCTTGTTCAATGCGACCATCATTCATGATGATGAATAAGCAAGGAGATAGAAAAATATAGATCCCCCCTTCCCCTTGCCCGCGTGTGAGAAAGTCAAAAGGCCATTTAGTGTCGGCCGCGCCGCCAACTGACAAGGCCCCTGCCATAAACGTAGAGAGAGAGAGAGAGAGAGAGAGAGAGAGAGAGAGAGAGAGAGAGAGAGAGAGAGGTTTTGGGGAACAGAATAGTGGGGGGGGGGCAGAAAGGAAGGAAGATGGAGGGAACGGACGTGGTTATGAAGGCTTTCCCTGATGGTTTCGTGCAGAGCTAGTTCGGCCCCGCCGTGGTGGCCCTTCCGTGATTGAATCCATTGATTGATATGGACAAGGCCAAAATTTTATGCTCTATGCTGGTGTAGTTCAACCCAGGGCGTGCTGACATTATAGTACTACCCTAAACGTGTCTCACCCCACCCATTTATGTCCGGACCTGGTTGAATCTGACCGCAATTACGTCCAGAAATAAGTAAAAAAGTGCTTGCTTGTGTGAGTATGCCCTCAGTTGCGCTGTTTGGTGTCAAGGTCTTTCTCGCAGAGAGAGAACCCTTTGGAAACTCTGGGGTACAAACTCTGGGGTGCCTTTGCATATTTTTTTAATCGATCACCTAATTTACAGGCAGAGGGAAGTTTTCTGCTCTGCTCTGCTCTGCGGCCATTTGAGGAGCAGTTCAACTGAGTGGCGGTTTGCGGTGGGAGGGAGGATCTGTCCTACACTTCTAGCGAGGTCCGGTGGAGTATGCACAGGTTGGTCAAGCTGAAAAAAAAGCATTTTCCACCGGACCTCCCTAGAAGGATATGTCCTACACTTCTAGGGAGGGGAGGTGCATTTGCAGGTGATTGAGGAAAATGCTAAAACGGTGAGAGTCTCTGGAAAGTTCAGAAAGTACTAAATACCTTGCGTGATGGATTTTGATTGGTTGATGGGTCGTGGTTGAGTGGATGGCCGATCGATCATCAATGAATCATCTATCAGGGAATTAGCGGAGGCGCGGCGTGTTCCTGTGGCGCAAGGCTGACCACAACAGACGATCACAAGGCAATTTGAGAGAGAGAGAGAGAGAGAGAGAGAGAGAGAGAGGGCGTCCGTACAAGGTCTGGTGGTTGAAAGTGGGGATGGGCATCAGCTGTGGTAAGGGACGAAGGGAAATGCCGAGTTCTTCGTTAGGGTGTGAGTGGGAGGTCGATCGCCTTGAGAACGGTTCGATTGTCCGTCATTTTGACATTAAAGGGGTTGGGGGTGTGGGATGGGGGTGGGCTTAGAGTGGAGGGAAGATGAAGCAATCAGCGGTCATTGGTTGTAGCAGCATGAGGGAAGACGAAGCAAGTAGCGGTCATTGGTTAGCAGCATGACCATGCCTTCTTAAGATGGCGATGATGCTCAGAGAGCTGGCAAGTCACGGGATTCAGTCCAGATTCATGCGAGAGACGGGGACGGTGATTGACGAGCTCGAGGGTTGAAGTTCTCCTCTCCTTGATACTATTAGCGAACGGTCTGTCCTGATGTTGATTTAGAGATGCGCTGCTTGTTTTCTCTCCCAAGTGAAAACGTTTTAAAACGGTACTTGTGGGATGAAGAGTACCTATCTTCAGGTGGGGAGCTGGAATACACACGGATACGGCCGATTGACTGATGCCGGTATATGCAGCTAGCCTAATACCGTCTTCCCCCGATTACAACGGACGGACGGGACGGTCACTATTCCCGTATGTAGACTGAAAGTTGCCCCAAATGCACGTTCTATTCAGATGAAGAGGGTAGTATGGAGAAATCGCCGGCTATAAGCCCGTTGTGTGCGCGTGTATTTGTGAGTGTGTGCGGAAGGGGGGATCGTCGGCGTCGGAGGAAGAGGGACGCGAGAGGGAGGGAGAGAGAGAGAGAGAGAGAGAGAGAGAGGAGGAGGAATGTGGAAGTGGGAGGAAAAGGGAGAGAAGAAGAAGTGTCATCTATGGAGAGAGGAATGTTGTGACTCGGAGGGAGGAGGTGGTTATGGGAAGAAAAAGAAGGATATATGAGGAGAAGACGTTTTCCAGCTGGAGGTTTGCTCGACGAGTGTGCCTAAATCAGATGTGGGGAGTTCGTGTTTGTCCACGTGGTGGTTGTCGTGCGGCTGCAAGGCGATTGATTGATTGATTACCTGATCGGCTCCTCTTGTTTTTCTATCGAGTGTTTTTTTACCGAGTGTTTTTCTTTCTCTCTTTCTTTGCTTTTGGCGGCAAAGCTTCATTCATCTCGTTCATTGTAGGGTAAATTTGGATGATGTCGTCTTCTTATTTTCTGGGTCTCAATCTCTCTCAATCAATATTTGATTACATCGATCACCTTTGGCTCGACGGATACGATTGTTCTTGTCAGTGTTGTCACCATGGTTTCACTTTTTAATTTAATTTAATTTTATTTTATGAGTTTATGGAGTATAGTTTCTTTGAGTCCTTCCTATACCCGTCCATGGCTATCAATATTGCTTGCTTGCCCTGTTCTTTATAAGCTGCGCCCTCCCTGCCCACTCGCGGCTCCTTTCTTTTCGCCCCGGGGCCTCTTTAATCTGTTGTCCTCCGGATTTGTCTCTCTGTTGAATACGCTTATCAGAGTATTCACCCCGCTTTCTTTCTCCGACGTCTTTCTCTCCCTCCCTCCCTCTCCCTCTTCCTCTTCCTCTATCTCCCTATGTACCTCTCTCTCCCTCTGTGTCCCTCTCTCTCTCCTTGGCTCTCTGCCGCGCACGTGCTCGTTTCCTTGCCTTTTTTCTTTTCTTTTTTCTCCTCTCAAGACCCTCTCCTTCTTCTTCTTCTTCTTCTTCTTCTTCTTCTCTGCTCTCGATTCCGCAAATGGCTCATCAGAGCCGGCTTTTCTGCAATCGACTCCGCGGTGGTTTTCTTCTCTCTCCTTCGCCCCTCTCGGCGCCACACTTTTCTTCTTCTTTGCCCCCCCTCTCTCCTTCTGTTCTCCTCACGGCTTTCTTGTCTCTTACCGTCTCTCTCGCTCTTTTTCTGTTCGTCGCGGCACTTGCCATCGGGGGAGAACTCGTTTCGCTCTCCCCCTGTGTTGTTGCGTTTCTCTCTAGCTGCCTGTTGCTCTTTTCCCGTCTGAAAGAGATTGGATTCGAGGGGGGAGGGGAGTATATCCCCCTCCATTCGGCGATTCTCCCGTTGAGTTTTCAGGATGGTGAAGGTGTGGTCCGAGATTGACCGAGTTTTCAAAAGATCCTCTGCACCGTTATACAGTTGACGAATGTCAAGAAGAAGAAGAAGAAGAAGAAGAAGAAGGCGAGTATGTGGTATGGTCTCTTTGTCAGTAGACTAAGTACGACGGCGTGACTGATCCCCCGGGCTACTGCCGGCTGGCAGCAATCTGGGCTTCTGAAGACCTGCAACAGGGAACCCTACAATGGTGCAGAAGAGGGGGGGCCGATGGTTGAGACGAGCAAGAATTAAGGTTGACGACAGGGGTTGGAAGAAGGAAGAAGACGGCAACAAGTTGGGCCGAGGAACACGCACGAGGAAGAAGGGATAGAGAAGACGCGGCTAAGTAGTAACGGAAGGACAGGAGAACGGACAGAAGATGATGAGGGCGAGGGGAGTGATATGAAAGAAGAGGTGGAGAATGGGAGAAGAGGATGAGGATGGAGGGAGGGTAAGGAAAATGCATGCATTCGGGTTGGTACGATTTGATTGATGCTGCAGTGATTATTAAAAGTATATTTTTTTGATGGAAAGCCGCCGCCATACAGTTAGTAGCAGCCTTGTTTTTCCGCGTCCTTTCCCCTGTTGCGCTTGGGTATTCCCTCCCCCCCCCCCCCCGTTTGCGGTAGTGTATGTAGTCTGCTGCTGCCTGCATCTGGTCGACATATTCGGACATATTGGGTATGTTTAGTGAAGGGCGATGGTACCGGTTGGGTACCAGTCTGGTACCAGTTGTAAAGCTATCCGTCAACTGGCGACGAGAGAAGTCCCTAAGTCCTGCCTGCTCCCTTTCTGTCCTGCCTTCTCCCTTTCTGTCTTTGTCGTTCTTCTTTTTTTAAAGACTGTATGTCTATCTCCGGCGATTCTCCGCTGTGCAGCGCTGTGCAGCGGATTGGGTGGAGGGAGGGAGTGATGTGCCTCCCGTCATTCTCCCGCTCTCTTATTGTCACCACGTTCTCCGTTGATCTGGCAGTTTGATGGACAGAGCTAGGGGAAAATGCATCTCTTGGCAAGAGCTTATGAAAGGTAGGTCTGTTTATTATTAGGTGATTTATTGTTAGCATGATGTTTACGAGGCCTAGTTGTTGTTGATATACTAGTATTAGGAGTGCACCCCATCGCTGCTTCAACCTGAGACCTATGACGTGTTTTATATATCGTTCCTTTACAGCAGAAAGAAGCGTTTTGCTCGAGTCCTCCACGGCTCTCACGGTTCGCGGCAATGGATCTGTACCTGTACGGTATCAGCCGCATGTACGGAGTTTTCTCCGAATAAGTGGGCCTGCTTGATGCGAAGGATTGCCAGAGCTAAGTAAGACCCCTAAGACATGGGTATGGTATGATGACACATGATGGTGATGCTGCTGCTGCTGCTGGTGCTGCTGATGATGATGATGGAAGTGGCAGACGAGAGTCAAATTCCCGAAAGCGGACTAATGCGTATGGCGATGAATGTGGTCGGTTGTGAAGGCTTGATTCGTATGCAATTGGCTTTCGAGTTGCGGATGGAACAGCAGGTTGGAGCCACAGACGTAGGACGAAGAATAACGGGCAGTTGATGTAATGGTCAACCAAGTAAGTTATTTGTTTGTGTGTAATACAGAGGAGACCCTGGGTCCGAAGCACACGGCAGCAGCAGCACGTAGCGAAAGATGTTGTGTATAAGTAGCCTGTCTTCCCTGTCACCCACCCCTTTAGTCACTTTCCCAAGTCTTCTCTCTCTCTCTCTGTCTCTCTCTCTGTGTCTCTCTCTCTCTCTCTCTCTCTGTCTCTCTCTCTGTCTCTCTCTCTGTCTCTCTCTCTGTCTCTCTCCTGACCCCCCTCTTCTCCTTGTGTGCTTCCTTTCTCAGATCCTGCGCTCTTCTCATACTAGGAAGGATTGGAACGATTTCTGCTATTTCTGATCTCTGACGGAGCGCCTATAGCAAGTATAGGCGACGATAATGAGCGATGCTTGTGCGGAGTGAAGTGGAGAATCCTGGGGGTTGAGTGAGCTTGTGGTCTCCTATTCTGGGTGAGACCTGTTCTTTATTCCCAAATAGGTCTATTCACTGTTTTGCTTGGCTACTGGATGGATCCAGTCGGGCCACGGTAGGCATCAGATTTATCAGTTTAGGAGTGCTAGGTGGGGAGGATCTGCGTATGCAGAGAATGCTATTAATAAGTGTGTGGAGAAGCACGAGCTAGGGTGAATGGCTTGGCTGGAGAGAGGCGTTATAGCGATAGGAGGAGGAGAAAGTGTGCCAGAGGGTAGAGTACACAATGAAGGGAGATAGGAAGGGAGATCCGTGGAGGCAGGTTCCACGTTCGGAGGGGGTGGGAGGTTACGTGATTCTGAAGGAGAGGTGGTGAGGGAATTGAGAGCTGTGCTGACAAAATGGACAAGTAGAGAGAGGATAGGGTTTCGCCTGCCCGCGTGATAAGATGGGCGAGAATGAGATTGCTTCCTTTCGAATGGGCGGAGGCTGGGTAAATTCTTTTACAGATACTGTAGTTGATTCTTGGTTTTTAAGAAATCACAATCAAACTTTTTTTTTTTTTTATATATAATTTATGTACGAAGCATAGCCTCATTTCTTGTGGTTGTTGCTCTCTCCCTTATGCTGCTACTACTATTTTTACTGCTGCTATTCCTGCTCCTCCTCCGCAGCTCTGTCTCCTACTCCTCTACTTCCTCCTCTTCCGCTCCCTGCTCCTCGATGTCTCTGTCCTCCTGCTCCTCAGCAATGAAGAGTCGTAATTGTGTATGCCTTGACTTAGGGGGCTTGTCTCATTAGTCATTGTTGTGCGTTGCACCACCAGTACATTTGCGAGCCGTTTTTCTTCGACACGGCTGTGTGTGCACCGCAGGTTTTGGGGGTCGGCCTGGCTGAGCAAAATAGCTGGTGGCACCAGCCAAAAGAAGTGACATGCCGGTTTTTTTTTTTTTGGGCGCGCAGGGCGTGTCAAAGCTCGGCAGGCGAAGGGTCAAAAGTACTGGTGGCTTAAGGCAATGCTGCAGTCTGTTACATCGCTCTATATGTTGAAGTCGGTCGTATGTTTTGTATGTTGGTGTAGACAGGCAAATGGAAGGGGAGACAATGTGTCCAAACGTCTCAGTCTGGCAAGAGGGACGACGGGAGAGGAGGCGGAGGCAAGGGAAGTAGAGTTGGTACGGGTGGGGTTGGGTGTGCGTTTGTGGAACTGGGGGGGTGGGTGGAGGAAGAGCTGGCTGGTACTGGGACGGCGCTTGTCGTCTTCGAAGTCGGTTGTTATCCTGCAAGCATCTTCTTAGCGAGACAAGCGGGCAGCGTATTCGGTAGTTTATTTTTTCCTTTTTTCTTCCGAAATATTCATCCTGTGAGGTTAACTGAAAAGACAGATTCTATTTTCCACATAGCTGGCCGCATCCTTAGCACTGAAGAGACGGATTCTATTCTCCACGGAGCTGGCCGCATCCTTAACACTGAAATGCGCAATCAATCGCCGCCAGATTTGAAAAGTAGTTACTTCCCTGAGACTGTTTTTGTGAGCTCTGTGCCTCGAAGGTGGGCGGCAACAAAGGCGGGGAATGGTTCTAGAGGAGGGGGGTGGTGGTGGGTGCGTGTTGTTGTGATGGACGGTGGAGCTGGTTGTGCTGGTGGCAAGAATCCCTGATGTCACCTTGTCATCATCATATAAAAAGCTTGTTAGTGGGAGTGCCCCTCACAGCTCTGTAATAGGCTCTTCTTCCTACTCTGTGCGCTGTCAGCTTCTCAACTTTGAGCGTCATCATAGTCATAAAGGTACTCTTTGAAAGGTACTGTCTGTGTTCACTCAGCCCCACTTGTTAATGTAGGAGGACAGAATTGGGAGGCTCCAAGGAACCTGTGGTGGTGGCTGGAATTTGGAATTCCCCGGTTGAGGTTCTCTTGTGAAATGGTAAAGTTAAACTGATGGACGCCTCGCTAGATGCAGCTGAGGGCTTCTGTCAGAAAGTGCTCTGTGGCAGCAAGGACAAGCAAGAATGCTTCGTCCCTTGCAAAGTCAGGGTCGAACTCTCGGGGAGACCGCTGAGGACAATTGGTCTGTCTAGTATGGGAGTGATGCGGCAAACAGGTGCGAAAGCATTTTGTGCAGCAGGGGAAGAAGGTGGCAGGAGGCATAGAATGGGGACCCACAGTGTAGTGGAAGGTAATGGGAGTCGTTGCGAGGTGATGGGTGTGATCTCCTGGTTGTGATCTCCATCGGCACGTGTCCTCGGACGAGAAGAACATGGCAGCATGTTTTTTGTTCCTTGCGAAGTCAGAGTTGGCCCCTCCACAGACTGTTAAGGATTGCCATCAACAGCTGCTATGTCTAAGCGAGTGGTGGGCAGCAAAGACACACAACATGTGTTGCACTGCATCCAGGACAGGGTGAAAGAGGCGTAGAACTCAAATGCGATCTAGTGGAAGCCAGTGGGAGGTGCCAGGAGCGGCCAAAGCGATGGGACTTTTGATCGTGTATCGAGGGATTGGGACGCCACGTGCGAGCGATTCGAGTGGAAACGGAGAAGTGATGTTGAATCTGTTGCTCTCCACTGACCCAGGAGAGGCTTGTCAGGACTAGCTGCTAGAAACGGGATGGACCGGAAACAAGGTGATGCCCCCCCCCCCCTTGGTACATCCCCTGCGCGTGATTGAAGTGGAAATAAAAAAAAAAGTGATGTTTAATCTGTCACTCTCCCTGGCCCTTGTGGCCAAATAGAGGCTTGTCTGGACTGGGCGCCACAATTCGATGGACGGGAAACAAGGTGATGCTTAATGCATCGCCCTCCTTTGTTGTCCTTGTGGGCAAAGATAAACTCCTCATGACCGGTTGTTTGTCTTTTCGATCACCAGGTGGACAGCAATCGGTATGCACTTTTCAGTTTGACAGACTCGCTCCTAAGCTCTTTTGTGAAAGATAGGGCAGGTTGCAGCGCAGCGATCATTGCTGATGTCAAGGTTGCTCTAGTGTCTTGCAGAGTGATTGTCCACCGGTTACAACATGCGTCATTTGACTCACTTCGGCCGTACGACAGGTATCGTGCTGTTTCCCTGCTGCTCTTCTATGATTGTTGTGAGGTTTGAACTTGCGAGTTCAGAGAAGGCAACGAAAGACTCATGTTGGGGTGTGCCAGCAGCTGCTATTGGGTATTGGGATCGTTGAGCATTGATGATATAAGACAGCGGGTCGGTTCAACGATTTTGGTCGCTAGGGTCAACGATTGTGGTCGCCAGGAGCGTAGTATGTATGGATCATGTGGCGTTGCTTGCTCGGTCTTCGTTTCGCATCTACAGCTTGGCGTGCTCGAGATGCTTCCTGCTAGGACTACTTTTGAGGAGGGGGCAAATTGCCTGGAGAAAGGTGATTGCATGGAGCTTTCTTTAGAGGGGATTGTTTTCTCGTGTTTTTCAATGAGGCTGTGGCATTGTGATAAGGTGTCTTCTTCACGAGCCTCAGTAGCACTTGTAAAAGCCCTGGCAGTTTGCATGAAGACCTTTCGCTTCGGTGGTGGGGTGCTTGAACTAGTGAGTGTGTATGCTTTCCTGACTTTGAGAGAGAGAGAGAGAGAGAGAGAGAGAGAGAGAGAGAGAGAGAGAGAGAGAGAGAGAGAGAGAGGCATGAGAAGGTGTGCTCATGGAACTGGCATCTGCAAACGATGCAGGCACTTTCACTTGTTGGGTGCAATATCGATGGCAAAGGTCCTCTAGGTGCTACCTGTTCATTGCGAAGGAACTTTTGCTTCTTTTGCAGGCCTGGTAATGGGGTACTTGTGGGTTTTAGCAGCTTAGCGATGTTTGTGATACCTGTGTCGTTCTTGATTCAAGAAATGTGTGTGTGTGTGTGTGTGTGTGTGTGTGTGTGTGTGTGTGTGTGTGTGTGTGTGTGT